TCTCGTCTCTACCACCCTTTGCTTAGTGTAACAAAAATATAATATATTTAGGTGAAGGATGCTTCAACTTTATTTTCTTTATTTAAAACAATCCTAGAGTCAAGTGTTCCAGGAAGCTGGATTTCTTTCTGTCTCTCTGACTTGGGCCCTGGGGCCCATCCTTTACATTTTCTGTTCACAAAGAGGTATTTTAGGGTGTCATAGACCCCAAGCCTGATCTAGAGTTAAGCTTTTTATACCTTATCTAATTTACCACCCTCTACACCCTATATAGACAAACAGACTGAATCTGAGAAAGGTGCTGAGTTGCCCAACATCAGGAGTCGGAATTTAATTGTGTTGGAGGCCATCATCTTCCACTCTATTTTCTGTCTTTAAAATATCTAAGGACATATCTAATCAATACCATTGCCTCAGAGATGTGTTTGTGGTGTGATAGTTCTCGATAGGATGAATAAGAGTTCCACAAAATGCTCACATCTTTGGAACTTCTGGTGTGAAGATGTTCCTATATTTTATGGGTGGACCTGAAGCAATAAAACAGGGCTGTTTTAGGGGCCCACAAAATGTTCAAACTAGAAAAGTTGACATCACAATGTACCAGAAGCTGGAAGACAGAGGATGGGGTCACAGTCTGAAGTATGGAGGCCAGAGTGGGTTCTTCATCAGCAGTGGTCCAGGAAGGCCTGTTTTGTACTTTGGACCTCCAGAACCATAAGATAACAGATGTGCTGTACTAGATTGTTGTGTCTGAGGTGATCTGACGCAGCAGCAGTTTCCTGTGCAAGGATGTTCCTGTGTGATAGAGGTCTGCTGTGTGCAGCTCACTGTGTGACACTACAGGGGGCAGCTGTGGCCAGAGCCCTGCTTTTGGAGAATTCCAAGTACCTCTTGTTATGTTTCTATTTCTTATTTCTTATTACCTAAGCTCTTTTCATAGTGCCATCTTTTGCTTATCAAAAGTAAAACAAAAGCAAGATATGTATCATTCAGGAAATTCTGAAAAAAATACAGTGTATGTTAGATTTTAGACAGAGTTTTCCCAGTCTCCCTCTGGCAGTGTCATCCCTCGGCCTGGCTCTGTTGTCACTGCCTGCAGAAATCTGGCAACTTCATTGGTTTCTTCAGCACATAAGCCAAAAGGCATCCTGTGTTGGCATTTCCTGGTGTAGTCCATCACACTGACACTTTGAGGGAGGATGACACCTAGGGTCTGACACTATTTGACAGTGCCTTTTAAACAGAGCACAGCAGATGAACGGCTGTACTCCAGCCCCAGAAATTGGTAGCACAATAAATGGGCAGCTGACACTGGGCCACAGTAACAGCTTAGACCCAGAAACTTTTCTAAAGTGAGGAGACTTCAGTTCCCAAAGGAAATAGCTCCAAACTACTTAATTTGTTCTCTTCAAAAAGTAATAACAGAAATTCCACAGGCATTGCACTTAAAGCTATATTGTTTTTGCTCAATTATATATTATTTTTATGTCAGTTAGCATCTTTGGGATTTAATTTCATTACATCCCATTTCATTTTCAGTCATTTTGTTTGAATAAAAATAGGACTAGTGTGCCCAGTGTGATGGCTTGTTAACTGAGACGCCAGAGCTAATTCCAGTGAGATGTGTCCATTAGATGAGACTGGAAATAACTATCTAGCCCTGTGTATGATGACAGCCAGGTATGGGCCCCAATTTGGCCCATTTGAGTTGGCTTCTCATCCTTGTGCAGCTTCAAGTGAAAACTTGAAACATGAACAAGCATGAAAAGATCAGGAAGAGGTGTATGTGTGTGATGCCCTTCCATACCAAGTGCACACAAATGCAAGGTGTTTCCTAAACTAGAACGTGTAGCTGGTGTATCACATGTTTATCCTCATTCAGATGCCAAATCTTCTTTCTGTCCCTTCTGTAAGGGTGTTTATATCAGAAGGCCTTTCATAACCTTATCTGTAATGGGAATTTTTGCAGTAGTGTGCATCTTTTCATAATAGTACAAGTGAAACACAATAGGTTATCTTTTATAGAAAAATATATGCCAGATGATAAGGAATATATTAAAGTAATAATGGGGACTTCCAGTTCCCAAACCCAGTGGACTGTTGGGAGCCTTTTTATATTTTTCTTTCGTTAAAACTTAGCATCCTGTATTAGTGTGAGGGTTTCAGGAGGCACAAAAGGGAGGCTTGCAATAGCTCATGGATAATAGCAATAGCTCCATTTAGCATGAGATTTACAGCTCAAAATATCAAAAGCAAGTCTGCCAGTAAGAGCCTAGACCATTGACTACAGTAGTCAATGTCATATTGTTTTTGAAAAATGTGACCTTTGGGGGCTTTCTGTTCATTGACATTTTAGTCTCAGAGACCCTTGGTCAATGTACCTGCAGCTAGGAGGAGCCAGCACTAGAGGGCACACCTCACATCCGTGTCTGATTCGCCTTCCTCCTTTCACAGGCAGAGGTGGAGACACTCTCTACACTTTGCACCCAGATGCTTGCTAGTGTGGTAATTGTTCCTATCACATCCTTACCTGATCTGTGAGATTACTGAGGGCAAAAACGTGTCCTAATTTTGCCTTCCTCTCCGACACATTCGCACAACACACATGACATTTACAGACTTGTACATGTATACAGCACTCACACTATGTTTTTAATGAGTGCAGGAAGAGATGGAAAATTTAAAAAGGAGACTTGTAGAGGTCTGGAGAGATAGATCACTGGCTAATAGCACTGGCTGTTCTTCTAGAGGACCTGGGTTCAGTTCCCCATACCTACATGGCAGCTGACAACCATCTTTAACTCTAGTTTCAGGGGATAAAATGCCCCTTTTCTGGCCTTCGTAGGCATTACATGACACTGGTGCCCTTAGGTACATGCAGGCAAAACACTCATACACATAAAATAAAAATAAATAAAAAAGATTTAAAATGAGACATGAAGATTGTTATAAAATGCATCTATTTTGTAGAAATGTGCTTTATGATATTCATAATTAATTACTTTGACCATTAATAAAATTTTCATTTATAATAAAATTCAAGGGAATACCTTTATTTGATGAATGATTCTTAGCTCACATTATTGTCTCTAATTTAATTCTGTATGGATGTGCCAGGTGAATACTTATTGTGCTAAGCCTCCAAGCCCTGCTCTAAAGTGGGGATAGCAATACTTATCTTATTGGATTGATTTGAGAACTACATGATGAAGCTTATCATATGTATGTATCCTCTGGCTATTCAGGATGAGGCATTGTGAGCTATCTACATGCCAGTCACGGTTCTCATTTCTCTCTTAAAAATACATTTTCTGCTCACAATAGTCCTGTAGTATGTGTCTTATATCACCATTTGGCATTCCAGGAAGCTGAGTCACAGAGTGAATAGTTTGTCCAGGGCTGCATGTCTGCCACATACACACAGTGTCCTTATAAACCATGGTCAACATGGCTTTTGTTTGCAGCTGGGGAGCTCAGTGCTATGACTTTTCTTGAAGGTCTTGCTGGGACTCAGCAAAGGTTGTTATCTTTCAAATAAAGTAACTACCTGAGATGTAATGAAACCTCCTGACCTTCATGAGCATCAGGGATACAGGTTTTCCTCAGTAGGATTCTGTCCAAATTAATTAACCACATGAAGAGAGAGTGCATACGTCTCGCTTCAGGCTTGCTCACTCGCTGCTGTTCTCTCTGGAGCCCTCTCCATGTGTCTTCCCTTGTGGAAAGGGGCACACCAGGAACACCTAGATATATTCATGCTTTTTTGCTTGTTTAAAGGAATCAGACTTGTAATGCTGTTTATACAAGTCAGAAGTTTGGGATGAGTGTGGGCATGCTGAGTGTGAGCTACTGCTTGATGAGCAATGAGGCTAAACAGAAGTCCCTAGAAGGGTAGAGAGACCCAGGGACCTGGATGTCCATGGATGTGTACAGAGATGGGAGGGAGGAGGAGCATATGTACAGCCTGTACCAAAGGTGACAGACGGTACACCATGCTTCACTGTTTGGTGCATGACCACAGGGGATATTTAGTGAATTTTGGATGAGGACATAAGAGCACAGACGCTATGCATCCAGGGTCTGCACAGAGCCTCCAAAGTCTACGTGAGCTGTTGTGATCATGCTTGGTTTTACAGATGAGACATTCCCAGAGCCCAGGTGATGGTGTCCCAGGCCTGTAGTCACAGAGCTGGCCTAGTGTTGCCAACAGCAGAGCCTGAGCGCTTTTCCATTAGGCAGTGCTGCTGCATGGCAGTCTTTTGACTTTTGCATGTGACCCAAAGCACTCTTCTTTATGAGCTCTGCTTGGTAGATGTTGGGAATCTTCAGTGCATCTTGTCCTAAGTCTCCTCCAGGTCTCTAAGTGCAGTTGAAGGTTTCACCATACCCAGCCCCTTTGTCTTGATTCATACTTTCTTCATCATACTTTTGTTGATTTGCACTTCACCTCTGGATTTAAATACCCTGAAGTTGGACTTCTGTTTCCAGGTCATACTAACTAGTGACTTCGATGAGCCATAAACTGGCTGCTTTAGTGAAGTGTTCCATGCTAACCCTTGTGGAGCATACTTTCAATGGGGGCTTTTATAGATGGTTTTGCAACCACCCTAAACTGTGTTGTTTAAATGTGTGGCTCCTAAGTTTATTGTCTGAGATTTCTAAGATGCTGGCACAGTGAGTGGCAAATTGGAGTTGACTTGGTCATACGATGCTGCCATTTCCTGGCCTTTTCCCACCTAGGCCTCTTCCACGTGTGTCACTGCCAGAGTTTGCTGTCCTGTCAAACTCAGCTTTGCATCCTATGGGAGGCCTATGGACCTGCTTATGGAGACTCATATGGTTTTAGAAGTGCACTAATTACATGAATGACTAATGAAATATGGGATGTGTTTGTTGTATGTTGTTATCATGACCTAAGGTAAAAGAGAGGTAAAAGAGAAGAAATGTAATGTGTGAAGACATGTGAAACATATACAACTCCTTTATTTTATTTTCAAAAGGTATTTTTGATGCTTTTGCAAGATACCAACAAAAAATCTTACATCACTCCAGGAACCAAAGAGCTTCAGAATGAGAGACCTTCTGGGCCCTCTCCCGGCCACTGTAAGTACAGAGAACTTATATTGTAATTCTGCTTGAGGAAAAAGGCCACCAACCTCATTCAACATCTGTTTTTTAAAGATCAGAATAGTAAGAACCTAGAGCCAATGATAGGGAGGAAGACCCCACGTGGTGAGGGTGCTTGAGCAAAGTCAGGGCAGAGTCAGAAAGCTTAGGTTTTTATCCTGGCTTGAAAGGAAGATGTTTATCTTTTCTGAAGAATCTGGCTTATTACACCAGAAAATTCTCGTTATATTCAATTAGAATGGTGAGCCTTGCTTATCTTGGTTTACCTTTATCACAAACCAGTGCTACCTACGTCCACAGTGTGTTAATCTGGGGTAACCATATGCTGCTAATGGGTCTACGTGGTTTCAGAAGCCACCAGATATGGGCCTTGTAGTCAACAGCCTCTGTCCCAGCCTTTGCACACAGATCTCCTTGGGTGGGTGTCAGAAGTTGAATAGAATCAAGGTTTGGTTTCTGCATGAGAAACCGTGGCTCTGGTGCAGTTCAATTCTTATTGCATGTTGGCAACAACTGGCCAAGAAGCACAGAGCTGGGCTCTAGAGATGTAGGAGGTCACATACCCTTTCATCAGAGATGTCAGAGCTTCAAGGACACTGACCCCCCCACATGGCTAAATCCCTACAATTAAATATAGCATAATGTTTAACAGATGTTTACTGCACGCTCGCCAGCACTGTATGGGTGTCATAATCACCTCACTTTCTCTGCAGTTCTTGGTGTTTTCAGGTGTAAGACATCTACATTAGTTGCTCAAAATTAATGTTTGGTTGGGTTCTAACTATGGTCTTAATTTACATTTCCATAATGATTATGTGAAACATTTCCAGTGTTGTCTTTATGCCAGTATTGTTGAGCTATAATTCTTATTCCTGACAATTTTCCCATTTAAAAAACAGATTTTGGTGGTTTTTATACTTGTTCATCCATTACTGCACGCAATACTAGACTGTGTTTATTATTAATACTTCAGGCAGAACCTTGTGTGTCACTTATCCATCACCTTGAAAGACGCCCATCCCTCCAGCCTTAGGAACCCTCAAGCATGAGTCCTATTTCTCTCTATTTACTCATCGTGAGCATGTTATGTGGGTGGAATGATACAGGAAATTCTTTGTGACTAGGTTCTTTTAGCACCTTTGATATGAGGCTTAATCTATTCAAGCCTAGAGAATTCCTGATACAGTTCTACTTGTTATGCCTTTTTGTATGCATTTCTGTTATGTATGTCTTAAAGCTTTCTATTCCCCTTTCCAATCATTATTGACTCTTTTGTGTTTATTTAAAAATATTTTATTTATTATTTTTATTTTATGTGTATGAGTGTTTTGCCTGTATGTATGTAAGTGCACCATGTATGTGCATCATCCACAGAAGTCAGAAGAGAGTGTCAGATCCCTTGGAACTGGAGTTATAGATGGTTTTTAGTCACCATGTGGGTACTGGGAATTGAACTCAGATCCTTCGGAAGAACAGCAAGTGTTCTTAACCATTGCACCATCTCTCCTCTTATGTTTATTTTGTTGTAGTGACATATTTTGGTTCTGTTTTCTTCATTTGTATTTTTTAATGCAAAATATGTATTTTATGAATATTTTAATCTGTGCTTATCAATAGGATTATATATCATAAAATATGTTGAACTATCTTAAATTAATACAAAGTTGACAGTAATCATATACAGAATCTTCATTTATAGTGCAACCTTACTTTGTTACTGTTGTCAAAATGACATCTTTATATATTATGTACTCATTAGCATAAATTTCCCTTCCTTCCTTCCTTCCTTCCTTCCTTCCTTCCTCCCTCCCTCCCTCCCCCCCCCTTTCATTTATTTAGGAGGTAGGGTGATTGAGATTTTCTTGGCTAATACAGATCTTTAGTTAGTTTTCTGGAGTTGCTGTACAATTAGTTAAGTCAGTCTGTAGTTCCTTGCTGCCTCTGTAGAGGAGGCCTTTGGTTCTAATGCTCATCTTGCTGACAGTACTCTCTTCTTAGTTGTTTCAAAGGTTCCTTTGTGTGACTGAACAGTCTCACATTTCAGATTTTTTTGAATTTTTTTTTGGTCTTTTCTCTGTGCTTTGTCATTTGTGTTAGATTTACACCATAACAGGTATCTGGGATAATTAGCTTATAAAGAGAAAATGCTTATGTTGGTGCAGTTTGAAAGGGTCCAGTACATAACGACTTTGGTCCTGTAGACAGGCAGAACATGCAGCCTAGCAGGTCTGCTCATTTCATCAGCCAGGACTGAAAGAGGAGGGAGTCAGTGAGGAGTCATGGATGTCCTTGGAGTTGCACCATAAAACCTCTCAAAGCTCCACCTCCTAAAGGCCCAATAAACACCTAAGTCCCAATAAGCTCCATCTTGGGAACAAGTCTTGGGGGCATTCAGCACCCACACTATCTCTTTACCAAGTCCTCTTTTAAAATTAAAAATATTTTACTTATTATTTTTATTATGTGTATAGATGTATTGCCTTCTTGTGCGTAAGTGCACTCATGTCATGCAATGCTCATGGAGGTCAGAAGAGGGTGTCAGATCCCCTGGATCTGGAGTTACAGATGGTTGTTCACTGCCATATGGATGCTGGGAACTGATCCTGGGTTCTCTTCAAGAGCAGTCAGTGCTCTTAACCTCTGAGTCATCTCTCCAGCCCCCCCCCACCCCCAAGTTCTTCTTCTTGTTTTTTACCAGTATTTTAAATTTGTTGAGGCTGAAAATTTTAAATCATTTTGTTTATTGTTTAACATTTCTTCCCACGATTTACTGTTTCTCCTCTCTCATCTTACTACAACCATCAAGAAGAAACAAGACAGCACCTTCAAAATTTTCTTTGGGACTTTCCTTAGCTAAATATTGAAATTTTTTGTGGGCCAGTCTTGCTTTCCACATAACTGCAAGGAATGGTTTTGCTGTTTGTTATCACTTTTGCTGTTTTCAACCCTTGCACAATAATCTTAGCATGTTCCATTCATTTTTGCCATGGGCAGCATCTTTGAAGCTCATACTTCTAATACTGCATTCAGGGACATTTAAATTACCTCTGTCATGCTGTTTAAAGTTAATTCACTCACTTCTACCATCTGATTTCGAACCATCCCTACTCCTTTAAGTATTTGTTATAATGATTATTCCATTTTTAATGACCAAAATCTCTTTTAGTTGTCTTTTGCTATTGACAAACTGTCCTCAGTTTAGCAGATTAGAATGATACCCATTCATGACCTTACTTTCTCTGGGGCTAGTTGCCTGAGCATGACATAACTGAGTTCCCCACTCGGGAGGTCAGGGTACAAGTCCAGTCAGCTTTCTCATCTACATCCAAGGGCTCTCCCAAACTTATCTAGGCTGTTGGTAGAATTTGAGATTTCAGCACTGAGGTCCTTGCTTTTTGACTGGCTGATGCTTTCAGTTCTAGAAGAACCCTCTGTGTCTTAGCCTCATCACCTGCTACATCTTACATGGCAAGGTGGTGGAAAATCCAGAAGAGGGACAGTGTGGTATCACACAAAACATGGGACACTTAACTCTATGAAAGTGGGGGAACAGGAGGCACTCTGTCCTGCTTGAAAAGGCCTCTAGTCTCTAACTTCCAAATTTATTAGAATGGATAAGGTACTCTGAGCAGGCATTCAGAAACAAATGTAGTTACATCAGAGGATGCTTCTCTACAGGGACTCAGGAAACTATTTGCAGTAAAATGTGGCTAAGAGCAGATGTTCATAGAACAGTGTGAATAAGGCATAGCTTCTTCATCTAATCTAAACACAAGGGACACAGCACTTCAGAACATGCATCTGTATACATACCTATGTTGATTTGCCATCTTAGACAGTCTTGACTGGTTGTGACTTTGCATGTATGTCAAGTATGCTTTCAGCAGTGTTCATCAGGGCAGTGGTCTCCAACATCTCCACCTTTATTATTGAATTGTTGCATGGCGGCAGCCATAGTAATTTTTGGTTGAAAAAATTGGTTTATCTGATTCTTTATACTGCACCAAAAGAAAGCACAGTTATAGCCACAATGAGAAAAGCAAAAAAGCACAACTATCCACCACCACCCCAATAGAAGCAATGTGCTTGAATTCTTGAACCCTGGTTTGGTCATTAGAAGTGTCTAGTCCCATAAAGCTTCATTTTATGTATTTTTGTAGAGCAAAGATATCCAAAGTAGCATTATGTTGTCTCTATGCTCCCAAAATGTGACACTTAACTTTTTCCTAATCACAATCACTACTGTTTTACTTAAGGGGACTAATATAGATGTTAGCAATGTTATAATGACAAGGGAGCTCCTTCTGGGTATGGAAGCTCTCTAATGTTTTACCCATCCAAAATATCTTTTAGACTATCCAATTCATGTAAAAACGTCAGATCTATGGCATGTAGAACATGCCATAAATAAGAGGAATTTTGAGCTCAATTGTTTACAGAAGTATGAGCCTGAACTTCTTGGGACAGGGCCACAGTCTATGTGGCCACAGATGTAATTATTCCAATTATAGTAAAAAAAACCACCTATTATCCATTTTCCTTTTCATAACACTATTTGAAATATAAAATGAAGAATCTGTAAGATGGGGTTTGTTCCTGTTATTCAGTAGGATTTTCAATTATTGGTACTGTAGTTGACTGATACATGAGTATAACTGATTGATTTTTGTTATCATGGTTAACACAATGATGTAACAATTCACACATTTAATATGAAAACACTGAATAGTGGCATTGTGTAGGAATTGAATACCATCTTCCACCATAAACACATATATGAGCAAATACACAGCCTGAACCCAACTGCTTGTGTTATAACATTCATCTCAGTACCCTTAGTATTAGTACGAATAATTCTCTTGTCTTTTAAATACATTATTTATTATTTTTATTTTTATGTGTATTGCCTGCATGTGTGTAAGTTCACCAAAGTCATGAAGTGCCCACAGAGGTCAGGAGAGGGCATCAAATTCTCC